AGATATTTTTTTTCATTTTGAAACAAAATGTCAGTATCCTCACTTACGGTATACTAGCTCCGGTGAAGCTAAAATAAATACATCTTAAATTAATGACGTCAGTGGTCTATTTATATGACAACCTCGCTGTCAATGAATAATATTGAATTCGATCGAATTAAACTTCGTACTCAATTGTTATATCTGTTACGTACTGAGAAAGCAATCGAGCGGAAAATTTACCGTGGAATTGAAAAACAATTAATTTGGTCGTCTCAGTAATTTCTGAACGATCCTCTATAATACGTAAAAATAAAGCATAAGAAATATTCATCGCATATATTCCTGAATTTTTTCTCGATAAAAAACGAGATAAAAGATCGTAAATTTCCAAGCTATTACGATGGAGATGATGTGAGAAAATTTCATTCATTGCCTTCAATGGCATTTCTCTATGATGTCAATAAACTTCAAAAAAATTATAAGTTTTTTTCTTATAGAAGCTATATAATAAGTAATGGAAAAGTCATCGTGCGTCCGGAAACTCCTGGCCTTTTCTCGCATACTTTATCGCAAAAGAGACTGCATTGAAATGTATTGCTTTTCCAAAGATGCATCTTTTCATCACTTATCCTACTACTGATGAACATCTTGCAGACAGAGACAGTCAATAAAAAGAGAAAATTTTAACATTTTAGGGTTTTAATACGTTTTATGTGGGTGTTTTGACTCTTTTCCTTTTCTCGATTTATCCGTCAGAGCTGTGGCTGCCGGGATCACGATAGTGAACGAAGTTGGACTCGACCCTGGCATAGATCATTTGCTTGCCATGGAATACATTGACAGTGTCCATTTGAAAGGAGGCAAGATTGAAAGCTTCGTGTCCTACTGTGGAGGGTTGCCAGCTCCAGAACATTCAGAGAACCCATTGAGGTACAAGTTTTCCTGGAGTCCAAGAGGAGTCCTGCTCAATGCTCTCAGTGGGGCCAAATATGTCTTGGACGGGAAGGTTAGTCCCTCTACATGCATATCCATCATGACTATTACCTTCTTAGCACACTTCATCTTTTCTGAAATTTATTTCTTTGCAAAGATGAATGAGTCCTATTTTTATTACGTGTTTATGTGCTTCACAGCGCTGAAGATGTGTGTATTGTGAAGGGTTTTGTGGTTTACGCGAGGGGATGATGATGATGCTGCACCTGATGACTTTGTTTGCTGGTCATTGCGAAGTAGTTCTGACATCTGTATGATTCCTAATGAACTTAAGCTGGTTTTGAATTATTTTTATGTCCACTAGGTGTCGCGGTCAACGCCACGCGACTTTAACCGTAATAGCAGAGGATCGCGGATGTGTTTTTGTTTCGTAGATATCTGTTTGCATTTGAAATTTTATTTCATCAAACCCAAAATTTATTTCGACTTCGCATTGACTAACGGGTTTCCTTTTTTCTATGAAAAAATGTCGGAAAACGGGGAACATGGGTATATATTTTAGATCATTGAGGTTCCGCCCGGAGCCCTGATGAGTTCTGCTGAACCCGTCGGGTTTCTGCCGGGTTTTGCTCTGGAAGGATACCCCAACAGGGACTCTCTCATTTACCAAGAAATGTATGGAATTTCTGAAGCCAAGACAGTGCTGAGAGGAACATTGCGATACTTCGGTTTTGCTGAGACCA